TTAAATACTTACCTTAATTTATATACCCTCCTGTGAAATTAATAACAAATAATATACTTACCTTGTGTGAAAATCCAATACTTACCTGGGAAACCAACTTGATTTAAGAAACCAGTAAAACCGAATTTGTAAATTCAACCTGAAAATAAAAAAAAGGGGAGGGTATAAATAGAGGAGCAGCAAGCTTTTGTCACTTTCCACTTGGACATCGACAGAGCAGGACATAATTTCAGCTCCTGAGCCATCAATACATTTTCTGTGTGCCTACCTGAAGAAGACCCCATTGGGTCGAAACGTCGTTTTATTTGGCACACCTTTATTAGTTTATTGATTTGATTTTATTCATTTATACCTAAAAAATATTTTAATTTTTTTATTTTTCTAAAAACTAGACTTTTCTTTTACAAGAACATCCTTTCATTTGAAAGCGCCTTTAGTTGTTTGTTTTTCTTTATAATAAATAATTTTATTTTACACTTTTATTAAAATAAATAAATAAAATAAATACTTACCCTCAGCCAAGATGGCTGATGATGGGTGGCACTTGGTGCGCAGGAAGCGCCCACGCCCCATTCCACCACGAAGGGACCGGGGTTATGAGGAGTTCCGTGGGTGGAAGGACCGTGCTCCCCCTGTTTCCTCCGGGAGAAGGGATCAGGTCCCCTACCCTAACCCTAACCCACTTTGGGGGCCTCCACTTAGGTGGAGACCCCCACCCCAACCCAAACCTAACCCTAACCCTAATATGCTCATTAGACCAATGTCTAATGTTGCACTCATCCCTATTCCTAACCCTATTCCTATCGGGTAACCCTAACCCTAGCTTCCAAATGGCTGGCTGGCTGGCTGGCACACTCTTGACAGGTCTATCACTCCAAATAGCACCTTTCCCAGTAGCCTTACCCTGACCCTAACCACTCCCCACACTTGCCTACACACAACCAACCACCTCAGACACTCCAAAACAGTCAACATACAAACCTGTCCCAATCCACTCCAAATGGCCCCAAACGTGCTCCTAAACACTTTCTGAAAAGTCCCATACTAGGGCTGACACTTTGAAATTTTCCAACAACCCATCGCCCCATTCACAATGAATGGACACACTCAAACGGGAATAACTCCGGAACCGAACGTCGCAGACACTTGGAAACGCGCTCCGCCTGCCATAATCCGACCCTTCTGAACACGCAGGACTTGTCCCCGAGTCTCTACGACCTACGGTTGCCGAGATACAAGGATTTTCACCTCTATTTCCGGAATTACGCCCACTTCCGGTTATCACCGGAAGTCGAGACTGACACCCAAAGAAGCGGAAGGAAAAAATGAACAGATTGAACCTGCTTTGAACTCTCTACAACCTTCCTGTGAGGAGAAACATGCTCATTAGACCAATGTCTAATGTTGCACTCATCCCTATTCCTATCGGGTAACCCTAACCCTAGCTTCCAAATGGCTGGCTGGCTGGCTGGCACACTCTTGACAGGTCTATCACTCCAAATAGCACCTTTCCCAGTAGCCTTACCCTGACCCTAACCACTCCCACACTTGCCTACACACAACCAACCACCTCAGACACTCCAAAACAGTCAACATACAAACCTGTCCCAATCCACTCCAAATGGCCCCAAACGTGCTCCTAAACACTTTCTGAAAAGTCCCATACTAGGGCTGACACTTTGAAATTTTCCAACAACCCATCGCCCCATTCACAATGAATGGACACACTCAAACGGGAATAACTCCGGAACCGAACGTCGCAGACACTTGGAAACGCGCTCCGTCTGCCATAATCCGACCCTTCTGAACACGCAGGACTTGTCCCCGAGTCTCTACGACCTACGCTTGCCGAGATACAAGGATTTTCACCTCTATTTCCGGAATTACGCCCACTTCTGGTTATCACCGGAAGTCGAGACCGACACCCAAAGAAGCGGAAGGAAAAAATGGACAGATTGAACCTGCTTTGAACTCTCTACAACCTTCCTGTGAGGAGAAACATGCTCATTAGACCAATGTCTAATGTTGCACTCATCCCTATTCCTAACCCTAACCCCAGCTGCACAAGGCCACCCAGCAGCTGGAGGAGGACCTCGAATTGGCCGCGGCCTTTCCTCTCGGTAAGTGTTGGTGTTTTGTGGTTTGCATGCTACAGATAATGTGTGTTTGTGTGATAATAGATAATAGATTAACATTCAACTGAGTGAATTAATATATTTGTGTTTTTTATTGATTGGATGCAAGACTGATAAAATTAAGATTTATTTTTATCTGCGTCCATGTGTGCAGTCGCAGAGCAGCAGGCCAGTGGTGAGCCAGGCCAGCAGGAGCAGGAGCAGCAGGCCAGTGGTGAGCCAGGCCAGCAGGAGGAGGAGGAGGAGGAGCAGGAGGAAACTCCAACAAATTAAACAAAAATAATAAATACATTTATTTAAAAAATTGAAATAGTTTCTGTGGTTATTAAGCATTTAACACTTTTATAAAATAGGAGATTAATGTCTAATGTCGCCTCATATTTCCAGAAATGTTGTACCACAGAAAACACATCCTATGTCCTGATATGTTGAAGTATTAGTAAACAAGCTTTAGTTGGCAGTAAAGATACAGCTGGACAGTAATACTGTATTTCTGTGTTTGAATGGATGAAGAAGTATAAATGAACATCTATATTTAAGTCATCAATTTCAGAATCATAAATACTTACAAACAAATAATTACTTTTGTTACAACTCCAGATTAGGGTGGCCATTTCCTCCACATCAAAAAGGAGGACACTTTGCATACACGGGTACACGCAAGCAGATATTTTTTGGTATCCGGTTTTATATTTTAATGTTTTTCCACCAGATTACATAAAGGTGCATACACATACCACATAGCTAATAATAAATATACAAGATACAGCTCATGACAACGTGCCCTTCCAATTCAGATGACATAGGTCTAATAAACATCATACAGAAACTGTTCTTAATGTTTTTATCTGGATAGATAAAGGGTAAGGTTAAGTTCTCTGTAGCTGAGAGCTTGATTGACAGCCTGGTGGTAACCTAGCAACTGTGAGAGACCTGTTGTGAACACATGGCTCATTTGAATATTAAAATTAGCCATGTGTTGATAGGTTACCACACGAGAATTTAGAGTTTTTCATACAATCTTGTGTTGTTGACAACACATATAACTTTGTAGTGGAAAATGTATATGAATATGCTAAAATTATTTAATTTATTAGTGTCTGTAGCCGTCATTAATTTGATAGTGTTTATTTAATGTAAACAAATCAGTAAGTGAATGGGGAGGTTGCAATTTTATCAATAATGATATTTAATGTACTTAAACCATATTACTGTTTAGTGCTTTTGTGTTTATGGTACGAAATTACTTAAAAATCCATTACATAATTTATAATGAAAGCATTCAATACGACATTTATTTTGACATTCTATTTCCGGTTGTTTTTTGTTTGTTTTTTATAAGAAATTACGGTTTGCACATTGGTAGGACTGAACCATTTCATGCTGGGTTGAGGGTTTAGGCTATATCTTTTATTTTAGCTAAAATAAATTAACAGACACATATATATTTATTTCTGAAAATTATAAAACATTGTAATAGTACTAAACAATTTTATCAGATAATTAATGTCCAGTTTCACATTATTGTACAACACGGTTCATCGTAATGATCCACCCTACCTTCCTGTACCGCGCTCTGATTGGTTGAACCAAATTTTTCGAATGTCGCCAGTAGCCTAGCTAGCACAACAACAGAGAGAGAGATACGGAGCTGTTTTTGTGTACGCAAACCCTGAGAGCTATTGAGAGAGAGTTGGAGAGCTATTGAGAGAGAGTTGGAGACATATACACATACACATCTATACATACACACACATTCATTCACTTTGGAAGCAGAGGATTTGCCTTCTACGGTGAGTTTAATTTTAACAATTACAATCTGTATTATTGATAATAATGTATGATTATGTTAATGAATATGATGCATTGCTGAACAAAGCACTAACAGTAAATAAAATACCGTAAAACTTATAATAATTGTCCGGCGTGTATTTGCTTAAAACACTGAATTGGGGACCTGCGTTTATTTCCTTTAGCACAAACTGTTGCTCAGCACATATGGAAATATTCTCTAACTGTACTGTTTCTCTTCAGTTTCGTATGGTAATTGTAACTTACGGTACATTTTAGCTCTACTGCTGGTTTATATGCGCCGCAGCCATGACAGTGAACGTGAACGCCGCTTTACGTCAGCTGCATATTTACGTCATCCGGCCGGCGTACAGACAGTAAACAGACCGTGAGTGACGGACTATACATGATGATATTAATGTAATGAAACCTTTTGTAGTGATACATGGACTCTTAATGGAGGAACGGACACAGACCGTACAGACTTTATTCCCGCTTTAGAGTTGTTTACCGTCTCTGTTGTTTACCGTGTTAAGTCCGAATGAATCAACGTTATAACGTTACTTTGGTGTTTATAGTTTCCGTAAAATGAAGTGAGCGATTGAATTGTGGAGACTCTATAACTAATGATCTAATGATGTGCATTATGTACATATTGACTGAAGTTTAAACATTTATATATTTGTGTAGGACATTGAAACGGTTTAAAACCCTCTGAAGCTCTGAGTCTGTGCGTTTTACTACATCCGGATCATTTCATTCACCATTGCAGACCTGCGTTATTATTAACTATGCCTTTTACTGGTCCAGCTCACTTAAGGTCAAATTGGGTTGTATGTGGCCCCTGAACCAAAATGAGTTTGACACCCCTTCCTTAAAGTGTCTTGTGAGTGTGATTAAATGTCATTATAATTTATTCTTGCATCCTTTTAGATGCCACGTGGCAAGTCCTTTCGTCGCTCTGAGGCTGCTGGGAGGAGGGGAGGCAGAGCGCGAGAAGGTTACCGTAAGTGGCCCAGTCGTGACTTTGTTCCTCGTAAGTACACGTTTCATTTATTCAACTATTCTGCCTATATGTGTAAGGTGTGCATGTGTCATAACTAATTTTGCAGTGGTTAATTAAGTTTTATTTTGGTGTTTGTTTCTGTGTTTTATAATAGGCCGTGGCACCGGTACACGCCATCGTGTGAAGAAATGGCCAGTTTCAGTCACGGCCCGCCAACACAAGCTGGTCATCCCTGCTGAGTCTCCTGATAAAAAGGTAATGCATTTCGCAATTTATAAACAAAATATCTGCTCTGATGATTGATTAGTGATTTTCATTCTAATGATATTCCTTCTGTGCCCCCTCCCCAGTTTGTTCTTATTGTAGGAGCGTCCCATCTGCGCTCCATTGCAGACGGGATCGTGCCGATGCCAGAGGGAATGCTTTCCTTTGGTGTCATGTCCACACCGGGGGCCGGTGCGTCCGACCTGAGGACCGAGTTACTCAACGCTGACGTACCTCGGACCCCGGACGCAGTCTGCATCATGGCCCCCAGCAACAACCTGACAGCCAGCCGGACGCACCGGGAGGCAGGAGATGACTTCCAGAAGCTCCTGTACAGTGCCCGCAGTCATTGGCCCAATGTAGGTTATTGATTATATTGTATTTACTATTACACCTTTTCGTACTAGGATTAATTTGGTTCCATGAGCTATTACAGTATAATGTACATTTATTTTAAAGGTTATGATATTTTGAGGAGAAGTACTTTAATAGTGAACAATTGTTCTGTGCAGGTCTTTGTCTTGGACTTTGTGCCACGTCTGACTGTTGATCCTCAGCTACAAGAGTTCATGCGTCAAGTGTTCCATCGAGTGGCAGCAAGAATGGGTACGTTTCAAAATATATTTTGAAAAAATGTTTGAATTATTATTATTTTGTCCATGATAGTCATTATTTTGTAATTTAAAAAGAAGATAATGTATTTAAGTATGTAAATAATTAATCAGCTTCTTGTTGTTATTTAAGGTATCAAGTACTTCTCGTCTTCTGGCCACTTCCCTTTGAACAACTTGGACCTGTGGAGCCCAGATGGTGTAAGTAGAGTATATTGTGAGGAAATGGAAAAGTTTGATGTACACATTGCAGTAGTTCAGTTCATAGCAGATGCAAATTGAGAGTACATTTTATGATCACTAAATGTATTACTCTAACTTTTGGTCAGGTTCACTTGAGTGATGGCGAAGGCATGGTGGTCCTCACTCGTTTGCTGTGGGCTGCAGCTTACGAGTCACTGGAGGTGCCTGTACCAAAACCGCAGGCCGCTCCCAGGACATCATTGCCTGTTCGTCACGTCACTCCAAGGGTCGTTGTGAGGGGAGAGGTCATCGTGCCTCGCCCCTCTTACCCTTACGAGTGGACGTCTGTGGAGAGGGGCAGGAAGGTAATATTTGCACACTGTAATTTAGGTGTTGAGACTGATTTTCTCCCAGCAGTTTATTTCTGTTATGGTGAGTGGGTACTTCTTTTAACATATCTGCTGTTTTTCATTACAGAGGAATGTACCGGTACCTGAGGAACCTGCACAGTCCTCTGGTGCACCGAAAAAGATAAAGGTTCAACAGCAGGTTTGTTATGCTTTTACATAAATAGTTATGATAGGTTAATTGGTTATTTGTCCATTGATTATAGATGAGAGAAATTGTCTAATACTGTTTTATTATGTGTTTTTTATTTTTATTTGTTAGTTTGTTGCCACTCCTGTCGCATTGAAGGAGTGCTTCATCCCGCTGAACCCCGTGAGGTTCAGCATTTCCATGTTGGCTGTCATGGATGCTGTTGTCCCTTCCCATCTTCCTACCCCTGAGTGCACCGCTGTTCCACATGACAAAACGGTAATTTGCATTCAGATTGTATGTGTTGGTTTCTGCTTCTTCCTGAAATTAACACCCTTTAAAAATTGCTTAAGCCCAAAAGGAGCTTTTCCCCAAATATAGTTTTAAAGGTTATTTGGTTTCCTTCTTTACATTAGAAACCTGTCGTGGAACGTAGGCGGAAAGCTGTTGCCTGCAAGAGGAGACCTGCAAAGCGCCAGGTTTGTTTTTATTATATTAGATATTTTACTGGTTTGTACAGTTTGACAGACAGGCAGCAATAATTTAATATTTCTTTGTGTTTGATGTATTTCGTCTGTTATTTAGATCATTAGAAAATACATGGCAACTTTATATTTCATTTTTGTAGTTACATTTTGTGTTGGTTGTTTTCAGGTTGAGGCAACACCCAGTGTTGTGGAGGTGTGTCCCCGTCCCACACCTGCCAGTCCTGTGAAAGTGGTTGCTGCTGCAGAGGTTGGTGCATGCTACACCATACATTTACACATGTGTTTTAAATGGAGAATGCAAAGATATTTCAGTATGCACCAAGTTGACAAAGTTGAACATGTTGAAATGACAAGACCTCATTTGAGTTTTAGTGTGTGTGTGTGTGTGTGTGTGTGTGTGTGTAATTAAAAAAAAAAAGTTGTATTTTGTTAATACACAATATTTAATTTTTGTTTGATTATTTTAGGCTCAGGTGACACCATGCGTGGTGGACACATCCCCAGAGCCTTCACCTGCCACGGCTGTGGAAGTGGTTGCTGCTGCGCAGGAGGAGGAGGTTGGTGCATGTTATATCACACATTTCACAAATGTGTTTTAAATGGTGCATGCAAAGCTGTTTTCTTGTTGATACAGTATATATTAAAGTTAAATACAAAACAACTTTAAGGTTCACAAGTGTATGTTGAAAGTAACATGTAAGTAACAAATACATGTTTTTTTCTTTTTGTTTTTCTTTAGGCCCCGGTGACACCAGGCGTGGTGGATGCCTTCCCAGACCCATCACCTGCCACAGCTGACGAGGAGGAAGTCAGCACACCAAGATCTGTCAAAGATGAGTATGATGCTAACCCAATTTCTTGCAGGTGTTTAGAAAACGAGCCAATAGCACCAGTAGTTTCCGGTAAACTCAGAGCAGCACCATTAACTCAGGATGTAAATGTATCAATAGCGGGTAGTGTTGTAGCTGCGATAAAACATGCAATTGCTCCGGTTTGTACATGGCGAGGGAAAGATATTGATGATATCTGTGCAGAAGGCAGCAAGTTGGCCAGTTTAGTTGCTGAAGGAAGCCAGGACAGTGTTGAGATTAAACTGTGTAAATTGATTGAACAGGGTAGTTTGTTTGGCAGGAAGTGGAAGGTAGACGTTGCCTCGCCAGTGTACGGAGATTTTGGGTTTTTGGATGACGACAGTGTGATGTATGAACAGCTACAGGAAACTTTGCTGAGTGATGGAATGTGTTTGTTGAACCTCCAAGGTTCAGTCAGTGCAATTATTCATCACAATAAGTACTTTGTGGTAGTTGATTCTGGGACTCGTGATGCATCTGGGCTGGCATCTATTTTTGGCAGATCTGTAGCTGTTTTCAACACATCCGTGCGTGACCTGATGTATCATATCAGACATCTTAAGAGGTCTTTGGGTGCCCACAGTGCTCTGGCTCATCAACGTCTACGTCAGGGACGCCTTGACGAGGCTCGACGAGACGAGAGCCAGAGTCACTTCCATCTTTGGTGATCTTTTGAAGATGGACTCCACCAAGAAGGTAGGTTTTGTTATCCACCACAGCGTGCCGTGTACCCAGTGTAATGTTTGTTTTGTCATGTGTCTGAATGTTGTTGTGTTGCTGTGTCACACAGATCACCAAAAGCTTGCGGGCGGTGCTGCCGGGACGGCCGCCTGGGTCACCAACGTCGGCAATGAGTACGGGCAGGTGCTCATGTCTGTCCTCACCGCAGCTGAGGGGGGCGGACTTGTCGACATGGCGGCCGGACTGATGCGGCGGTACCGCGAAGCCAGGAAGGCCCCTCCAAGGGTCCTGTACGTGGACCGGGACTGCTGTGCCACCGTGGGACAGTGTCAAACGTCCAAGCTGTTCCACGAGTGGCACGAGCTGGTCGTCAGGCTCGACGTGTGGCACCTCATGCGGCGTTTCGCCAGAGGGGTGACCACTGACAGCCACCAGCTCTACGGCCTCTTCATGGCGAGGCTCTCCTTCGCCATTTTTGAGTGGGACGCCGAAGACGTGTCCCGCCTGAGAGGAGCCAAGCAGTCCGAGGAGGGGAGGGACGCCCAGGAGGTCAAGCTGTCCGCCAAGGAGCTCGCCCGTCACTGCCGGCGCCGCACCAGGGGTGCAGTGGAGACGGAGCGGCTGGTCCAAGAGGTGCTGGACACCTTCTGGCACGTGACGGACAGCATGGGCGTCCCTTTGATCGACCGCGCCCGAATGGAGGAGATCTGGAGCACGCAGCGCCGACACCTCGACTGCATTCAGGACCCTGCGGGAGTGGACCTCTACACCAAGACGGGAGAGCTCACCAAAGGCGGGGTGAGGCTCCCCGTCTACCGGTGCGGCCGAGGCTCCACTTCCCTGGAATCGTGCACCTGTGCCGCTTCATCCCAGGTAAGTACATGTGTGGTTTACAACACAGACTCAATTATGTATTTGTGTGTTTATTTGTCCTCACACTAACTGTGTTGCTTTGTTTCTGCTTAGGCCAATCTGCAAGTGATGTACACTTCCAGGTGTACCTGCTGGAGGGCCTGGTGCGGTGGAACGAGAATCGAGGCAGGGCGGCAGTCGAGGGAGGACAGAGGTCGGCGCTGCGTTGCTACAGTGCCCAGCTGCAGCACAGCTTCGACCAGCTGACCCAAGAGCTTCTTGGGCGCACGCTGGTCGACATGTACACCATGCCCAGGGAGTACACAGGTGGAACTGCGCCACCACCGCTACGTCACTCCCAGGCAAGCCAGAGAGGTCACCGCTCTCTGGCTGAAGTTGAGTGACTGGGACAAGGCGGCGGTCAAATTCCCCCCCCGTCACCAGGACCGGCTCGTCCAGGGCCGATTCAGGACCAGCCAGCGGCACGCTCACACGCCAGGGGTGGCTAGTGTGAAGCGGTAAGCAGTCACAATAAATTTCCAAGCTTTGTTTAGTTCTTGTTCTGTGCTGTCAGTCACAAACTAACTCTCTCTCTCTCTCTCTCTCTCTCTCTCTCTGTGTGTGTCAATGTAGTGCGGTCCTGGGCAAGGGGGCGGGAGCGGCGCAGTCTCCCGATGTGTCAAGGCTTGTGGAGGCTGTCCTGCTGGACCTCAGCATCCTCCACTGCGGCGAGGAGAGGACGATTGCCGGGGTCCGCCTTCATCGCTGGAGTGCCGTCATGAGGGACTATCAAACAATTCGAGAGAATGTTTATAGTTGTGCAGCCCTCATGACGAGCACCCGCATCCAGCTGTATGAGGTCAATCAGCGGACCCTGACGCAATGGTAAGACCTGATCCTTTCTCTCACATCTGATCTGAAGTGGCAGTGTGAGGTGTGTGTGAGTGTGTGTGAGTGTGTGTGAGAGTGTGTGTGTGTGTGTGTGTGTGTGAGTGTGTGTGTGTGTGTGTGTGTTTGGGAGGGAGGGATTTGTAAATATTGTGTATATGTGTGTATGTATTTAGTAAGTCAGTTGTGTTTGTTAAATTAATATTATGTATATAGTTGTCATATATAAGTTATACCTTTATTTGTCCCACAATGGGCAAATTCCAATATCTATATAGTTGTATATAGTTGTCTTAATTGTTTTAGTTTAAATAAACTTTTCTTTTTTGAAACCAATGCTTTCTCCTGCTTCTTTCTGCCTTTAAGAAATTAAATAAATATAGGGAAGACTAGGTATCTAGAATAGGTGCCTGATATCAGTAAATCCCCACAAGTTACAGTCACAATACATCATTCCCTCTCCTCACTTAAAACTAGGGTCAAGGGGTCAAACCAGGTCAGGTTCAAAGGCTTACTTAGAGACTAGGTGAGAATTGGCCTTTTACAAGTGGACATTGTAAAACAACAGGGGGTGCCGAGGGGCCTTCACTTCTCACCTCCTGGCTTCCTGATTAAAACAACAGGGGGCTCTTACCTCCTGCGAGAACTTGGGGTTTGACCGGACTGAGAGAGGACCGGACTGGTAGGTGTGTCTCCCCCAAGAGGGGGTTTCCAAAAAGAAGGCAAAAAACAGACAGTCAATTCATTCAAGCATTTTATTTGGACAGAATGGAAGGCAGAAAAGCAAAGCGAAAAACCAAACATGTCACTTCATTAGGTTTGTTACAAATACACTTTTTAAAACTACATATGTGTTTCTATGTACCTTGACTAACAGAGTTCTGTATTGTATTTTATATTTTAGGGGACTACGACTGCACCTCCTCCTCATCCTCCTCCAGCTCCTCTCCTCGACAGCTTCAGGCAGCAGAGCCAGTGGCGGGGACCAGCAAGCCCACCCGTTGCACTCTGTACAGGCGCAAAATTAAAGCGGCAAAAGACAAAAAAGTCCTCCAAAGTAGCAGGGGAAAGCCACAGCACAAGCCTGGGGACCCCTGCTACATCTGTGACCAAGCATGCACGGTGGATGGTGGCCACGCGTACTTCAAGGGCCAATACTTTTGTGCTGTGAAAGAGGGCCCTGGAGGACGCACAGTGCAAGAGTGGACCAGGGAACAGCTTGGCCCTGGTAAGCTGCATAAGCTCCCAGAACAACAGCCTGGAACCTCAAACGGAAGTATGAGAAACCAGAGAAACCGGGGGAAAGTGAGGGAAGCCCCACAAACTGAGGATCTGCCAGCTCTGTGGCCAGCCACAGCAGAAAGACTTTGGCCACAGCCAGTATGGGGGAGAACACTTCTGTGCTCTTTATGAAGGGAAGACTGTGGAGCTGTGGCTGGCTGAGAAGAGGTCACAAAAACATTAAAATTATCCAACTGTACTGTATTATCCAAGCACCTTATATGTTTCATCTGTTCATTGCACCTTATATTTTTTATTTTTACTTTGCACTGCATTATACTGGTTATTTATACATATTTTATATTGCATTCTATATTGCTTTTTTGATTGTGTGTGTGTGTGTGTGTGTGTGTGTTTGTTTGTTGTTACTGTGTGTAATGCTGCTGCTACACTGCAATTTCCCAGCTTATGTTATACATTTTGACCCTTTCTAATAAACATTTAATTGATTAAATCCTTGTCTTCTCTATTTAAATATTTTTTAACATAACTTTTTAAACCTGGAGCCATTCATGAGGCCAAAACCATTCAAATATTAATGTACATTTAACCAAACAAACCTGGAGCCATTCAAATATTAATGTACATTTAACCAAACAGGTCTAGTCGCTTTAAATGCGTGCGGGTGCCTTTAATTCTCCGTGTCGCCGCCGTATGATAAGTAGCCATGTGCTCGGGATGACGTAGGGACAACAGCTTTTGACTGACACATGTCGAGAGAAGGAGGGGGGAAAGGGGGATCGTTCCAATTCTTTGGCGTTATAATCGGGAGAAATAGAAGGAGAGGCTCTTTGGGGCTGCTTTTTATCACACGAGCCCGGGGAAATGCGGCCGGCCGGGGGGCCGGCTGCGCCCGCCGCGCCCTCGGCGCTCCGCACGGCTCCCTTGCTTCTTCGCGCAATATGACCAGCAATGGTCTCTGTATGCCAGCCAATGAGCAGCAGCCAGTGCTGTCGAGCGTTAGTCGAGCGTTGTCAGCTCTGGGCCAATCAGCAGCCAGTGCTGTCGAGCGTTAGTCGGCGTTGTCAGCTCTGGGCCAATCAGCAGCTCGGATTGTCGAGCGTTAGTCGAGCGTTAGACGTTAACGCCCACCTCTTAACCTCACCGGCTGCCGTATGCGACGGACAGAAATCCCCGTGTGTTTTGAGAGAGCAGTGAGATCTGAGAGAGTGAGTAAAACCAAAATAAATAGAATATTAATGTACTGATATAACACAGCGACCCCACTGTACTGTTACGATGTACTGAATGGAGTTAATGTTTTATTACGTTCTGCCGGCACTCTCTGGTTAGCTTATGCTAATATTGAACGTGGACGTCAGGCGTCCCTGTTTACACATTTAAACCATATTTATACTTCGAATTTCGACTTCAAACTGTAGTAACTACATCTACAGGGTCTAAGGAAGATAATCAGGTAGTCTGTTTATAGATTAAATACATTGTGAGAGATCGCCAGCCCTCAGAAAAGTAGTAACTAAAATGACCTCATTCACCTCCTTGTTTTTAGTTAGCAAAATCGCGGCTGGTCTGTTTACACATTTAAACCATATTTACACTTCAAATTTTGACTCCACATCGTTGTACCAGCATCCCAAGGGTC